ACAAGCCTGGCTTTTCAAGTCTCTCCAAGTCTGTCAATTTTGAATTATTACCACTTCAGCTTCAGAATGATTCTTCTGAATGGCAGAGTCAGCAGTTATATTCTGCTAAGTAATGGATGCACTTAACATACAGAACTGCTCAGAATTACAGAACACACGAAGCAGCTCATTTTAACCATCTCTCTGCTCAGGACTGTGAGAGGTTACATATGATTCTGGGGAAATTTTTTGGCATTTGGGGACATTTGTCTGCTTTTTAAATAAAACATTCCTGGGATACCATTAACCTAATCATGTGAGAAACAATGTAGCACAGTGTTTAAAAATGTGTACTTGGAGCCCAGCTGCCTGGGTTCAGATCTTGGTTCTACAAGCTGTGTGAGCTCAGGCAAGTATCTCAACCTCTCTGTGCTCCAGTTTCTTCAACTATAAATGAAAGTTGGTGTTGAATTAAATGGGTCAAGGTATGTAAAGCCCTGGGAACTGAGCCTGGTCCATTTTAAGCCCTGTATGAGTGTTAGCTATTATGACAGGCCTTAATTATTTTACTCATTCTCTCCCTCCCCCTGCAGCTAAACCAGCAGAGTAGCAGTTACTAACTAACTACACTGAGAATTATTAGTACATAGTAGGTGTTAAGAAACCACTGTTGAAACAAGTGAAAGACTAGGGAAGTTGTATGTGAAAGAGGGACACCGAACTTGAACCCTCACCTCAATATCTTCCAGACAGGAAGTTACATTCAAGAGGGAAAACACCTCAGATTTCCAAGAACAGTGTCTGGCACATGGGTGCTCTGTAGTCAAATAGTTAATGATGCTATTTCAGAGTTGGATTGTTTAAACCCCTCATTCCAACTACAGAGAAGCAAGGGTAAGGTACTGAACACCAAGGGACGGAGGGTTTCTAAAAGGAACAAGTCAACTGGTGACGCTAAGGAAAAAAAAAAAATTGCTTGCCCAAGAAATAAGCACCCAGAAAAAAATCTAGGTGATTAAGTAATAAGACGAAGCTACTGTATCTGATTTGTTCTGTGACTATTTTACCCCTTGTCAATAAAACTCCCTTCTTTTTTAGGGAGAACGTATGAATTTTTAACAATTAAACGTTCTAGGCAAGGTGTTTGGCTTCCACTTCGGTCTGTGTGGGAAATGCTGGTTGTGTCTGCGCATCCCCTCTGAGGCCCCCACCCTACCCACAGACCTCAACTGGCTGCTCCTCATGAGATGTTTCAGTTTTCTTGTGAGAGGACCGAGACCAGTAAAGCTATTTTGGTCAAGCGACAGGAGGCCTGGTGATCAGATGGAAAATAAGAGCCCTGTTGAATAGGTTGGGCGGTTCTATGAAAAGAACAAGAGGCTTCCAGGGTAAAGACTGCTCTTCTAATCCAGGTTCCAGGACCTATAAGCTGGGTGACTTTAGGCAAGTTACTTAATGCCTCAGAACCACGTTTTTCCTATGTGTAAAATGGGGTGAATATTACCTTCTAAGTCTGTTGTGAGGATTAAAGTTAATTCTCATAAAATGCTAGGTACAAAGTAGGCCCTAAACTATTAGAGTTTTTTTCACTGTAAACTGAAGACAGAAGCATCTGAACTGACTCTACTTAAGCCAACTTGATATTTCCTGTCTCCAGCAGTGAAAGGGGAAATAAGACAAAATTTTATATACATAGAGATTCTATTCAAGGCCTCTATGCACTATAGAATAATGGAGGATCTAAATTTTTAGAAAATTATCTATTTTATCCAGTGATCAGAACAATATGACCACAGAACAATATGACTCGCAGTGAAATAAATGAGTTTTGATGTTAGCTGAGGAGCAGTATAAAATCAGATTTAGACGCTAAGGGTGGAAACTGTCTTCTTTAGGGTTCCCGGAAACAGCTGCTCTGGTGTGGTGTACACAGGAAGTGCTGAAAGTGCTTGTAAAGTATTTTACTGAAGTGCCCTTTATACATATTTATAAACACATACATTTTCATAACTCATTTCTGTGCCTTTGAGAATGAATCTTAAAAGAAAAAAATGNAGAGGGAGGGGATAGATACATAAATATATATAAATACACCTATGGCTGATTCATGTTGTTGCAGAAACTAACATAACATTGCAAAGCAATTATCCTCCAATTAAAAATAAAAATAAAAAAAAAGAAAAAAGCATAGTCAAGGAGGGCCTTTGCTAGGATTGTCAAGGCCAGGCTTGAACATTGATCGATTCATCCTTTGTCATTGTCATGAACTCACGGTGCTGTACAGACAAGCGAGCCTGGGTAGGCAGAGGATGTGAGGGAAGTCAAAACAAGCTGAACTCCTGCTCCATGAGGGCCTGAACTTCAGGTAATTTTCTTCTACCTATGTTTTAGTTTTCTTTAATGAATATATTGAATACTTTTAAACTTTTAAACCCAGATCTCTTCCCTCCAATCATGGATATACAAGCATGTATGCATTCCCCCATCCACTTCCTCAATACACACACACTATACCAGAGTGTGAATACCACCAGACAGGAGTCATTGGGGTCACCTTGGAGGCTGACTACCAGTGTTCTACAAAGTGTGATACAAAAGTATTGCTGTTTTTTAAAATCTGCAGAGTAGAGATGGAAGTAAGGGGTAGGTAGGGGGAGATTTCCTTCTTTGCTGAGAATCATTTTCAACTTTTAGCAGATTCTTTTACTGTGCTTACTTTTGATATAGATTTTCTGTCTCTTCTACTTTTTCTCACTTCCATTCCCAGTTTCTAAAATACTCTCCCTACTCTTCTTATTCTTGTTCTAGTCTTCCTGGATTTGTGGGCAAATAAAAATATTGAGTGCAGATGAAGGTAATGAGGTAGCTTTCTGTAAGTTAAACATTTTTAAGTTTCAGGGAATGATTTCTCTGGAACATCTAACACAAAACATTTACAACTTGGACAGTGTTTAAGGATGTACAATTTGCTCATCATGGAAGGAAACAGAACTTATTATCTACGTAATAAAGACATTTGGGCATTAAGTGCTATATGACACATTATGAAGTTAGACATATTAGATGTGATTCCTGGCTTCAAAATTACCATGAAGGGAAGAGCCGAGATGAACTGAGATATTTTAAAGGACAGTTTGATGATTGCATACCTATTTAATCCCCACATAAGCTTTTTAGTAGAGTCACACATTTGCCAACTCTACAGGGCTATACAGTGCCCCCAGTACCCTGGAGGACCAACTTCATGTGATGATGCTGTCCTTCAACATCAATAGAAGGTGGACTCCTTGCTCTGAGGGCTGGCTGTGAATCGGACAATAGAGAGCCATGGGAAGAGGTGGACTCTGGGCACATCTAGAATTCCCATGGCTCTTTAAGAGCTTTACAGACTCCTTTTGACTTTCCCAGTCATCTCTCACTGTTTTCTGGGCTCGGCCTCTACCTCACAGTCACTTCTAAGTTTTTATTCCTTTAGAATTGCTGTGGACGAAGAAGCAAAATAACCAAGCATATTTCATTTCATTTTTTTAAAAAAATGGATACTAATACTATTAATAAAATGAATAATACTAAATAAATGAAGCCACCAGATCCCCTGGGATCTGGCTGTGTGTTGGAAGGGGTCCAGAGCTGGGTAGAAGAGTTGTGAGTTAACCGAGTTGAAATGTTGACCTACTAGTACTGAGTTACTTGTGCAGAGCAACTCCAACAGAAGCCTCATTGAGGCATTCCAAGAAGGCAAATGTCTGTTCCTTGGTGTGCAGGTGGGGTTGAGGGATGATAAAAAGAGTCTGTGGATTCAGTCAGTACAAAGACTTCAGCCTACCAGCTGGGTGACCTTGAACAGATTTTTTAGCCTCTTGAAGCCTTAATACCTCTTCCTTTAAACAGGAGAGAAAAGTACCCAGCACACAAGGTTTTTTAAAGGACTAATGAATAAATACATATAAGGTCCTCAGCACACTGCTTAGTGTACAATAAGCTTTCAAACACTAGCATTTATTAAAAAACACACGCACACACCCTGGAGCCTCACTGTATTTCACCATGGGATTTCATTTTTTAAAGGTAGGACACTTTAAAGTGAGAATCTTCTCTTTTTTTCCCCACCAATTAAAACCTCTTGTTTAAAGAACAGTGATAGAGCAAGACTGGGTCTTATGGAATAGCAGTTAGGATATGACAGTGGGATGGAATGTATTCATATACACATATATCAGAGGCTCGAAAGCTTTGGCAGGTATGGGTTTCTATAGGAAATGTCCTTTCAGGGTTAGATGCTGATCTGAGTTTAAAGGACTAGAGGGGATAATATGGAAAATTTAAGGCAAAAGCCACAAAAGGGTGGAAGATAACCATCTAAATAAGTTAGGCAGAAGCTGGGGAGGGGATGAGCTTAGGTGTTGGGAGTCTTTCAGGGAAAGAATCACATAGTATGTAGATGAAATAAACATGGGACTTGACTTGCTCATATAAGTGAACTCCAGGCTCCAAACAGGGTCAGATGCAAGGCTCAAATGGTGTGTATGGGAAGGCCCCTGCCTCCACCTGGCAGACATATTCTCTCCACATGGTGATCAAGACTCACATTATTTTAGCTCAGTGCACGGAGAAAGTGTTATCTGAGAACTCAAATTATAAGAGGTTTGGCTTGGCTTGACCTGGGTCACAGGTTCAACTTAATGCCAGTCACTGTGGCCTTGGAGGAATTGGGTGCTCTGAGGATGAGGGGAGGGCAGCTGACCCACATGGATGGGTTCACCACAACCAAGAGGAGATTTTCTCCTTGAAAAGCCGGGCGAAGAATGCTGGGCCGGCAAGAGGAACGTGGTTCCAGCTGGTAGTGATTGACTTAACTTCCCCTCACCATCTGCCAGTACTCCATGGGCATCCATACCTTCTGCTTCAGCTTGACACCAGCCCTCTGAGCCAACAAGACCCCCTGAGATGATTGTGAAGTCACATGGGTTCCTGGAAACCCCATCTTAGAGCAGATAGTTGTTAAGAGGACTGAGTGTAGACAGGTCCTTTGTTCCAAGAATGACAGAATTCACTGAATATGAGATCAGCAGGGTGAAGAATGGGGTGAGGGTATTGCTCAGGTGGTATTACACGAACACAGCCACTGGGGCCATGTAGATCTGGCCACAGGTTGAAGGGAGTCCAGGGCTGGGTAGGTTACAGTAGGCCTGTTGTGAGTTAGCCCAAATAAAACATTAGTAGAGACCTGTTAGTACTGAGTTACACGTGCAGCCTCATTTCTAGTATCCTTCCCAGGCAGTGTCCTTCCCATGAAGACACGTGGTCTTCAGTTCAATGGGATTTTATTCTTTCTCTCTAGCAGAACAGTTTCAGGGACATTTTTAGAGAACTGTTTATTGACAGTAAGAATTAGTACACATCCTGGGCTTGACATGCATGCTTCAAAGGCTTCTGGGAGAAGAGGCACACAGGGCCGGGGCGAGGACCAGAGGAAAGTCAAGCACAGGTTACTAGAATGCTTTAGAAATCCTTTTCTGCTTCAGATAAGTGGCTAATTGAATTTGGGATTGGCTACTGGAGAAGTGCCAGTTATGGAAACGAGCATCTGTTGATCACACTTTGCTTCGGAAGCTTGGCTCCTGACTCGAGCCATGTTGGGGAGAAAGCGGGGTGCCGAGCTCACACCGCACACCGGCATGGTGGGAGGAGTGATTCATCGTATTTACTTTCAGGCTTTCATCTTGTAACAAGATTAATTCAGTAGAATTCAACTTCCAGAGAAAAATGGACCATTTATTGTTTTAGATTCAGGCTTAGGCACAGCAGGTGGATTTTCAAAATTGCCTCATCTGACATTTCCTAGAAATGTAAGCTAACATGATTCCATTTTTTGGCAACTGGAAAGTTATATTTGAACATTCTACAAGTCAGTTGGCAGGACTGGAAATTTCGAACATTTAACTATCTTGCTTGAGCTTGATTTTGTTGAATGATTTGTAACTGTGTGACAGTCCTTTTTGTGTGACTGTCTTGAGATCTGGAAATCATCTCAGAAAATGTAAGTCATTTGCCAAAGGTCACTGAATAATATACACACGAAAGCCGGGAACCGGTGAATATTGATTAGAATCCAGTTCTCTTATATCTTGGAGTCATTTGTAGAAAGTGACCACAGTTTGTGATGTGTGTAACTTTAACACATGGAGGAAATGAAGACTTTGATACCCATCTCCTCCTGGCTTTTTCCCCTGGTACTTCTAGGGCTTGCTTACTATGGGGTCTGCTCTACTGTAAATGAATGTGAAAAGCTACAAATCACATTTACTTTTCTCCTAGAAGCACATGTTCCTGCTCTGTTGGGCAGATCCAGCAAGAAAATCAACTTTGCCAACAGTAATACCATATTCCAGGTAATGATGTCCTTTGATATTTTCAATGGGAAATGGTAGGCCTAAGCAAATTAAATCCAAGCAAGAACCATCAGTTTTGACTTCTTAATTAATAGCTGTCTCATCTTCACCAGTTGTCTCTAAGATACCATATTAATTCACTATTTAATCTGTTTTCCCATACATCTCTGGGGGTTTCTTTATTCAATAATCTTTTAGGTTATTCTTCAGTGTTTTTCTTATTTGCTTTTATGGATGTCACAGATTTCTCCCATATTCCTCTATATCTTTGGGATTGTTTCATATGTGTAGCATTTTCTTGTTTAGAATTTCTGACGTTTGAAAGTAACTCTTAGGTTGATAAAATTCAGGCATTTTCTGGGGATGTAGATTTGAAAAGAAATGAGAAAATAGATGAGTTTGGATTTAGACTTATTTATTTAGGTGCCTCTGGCACATCCCCTCTGGCACAGTCAGGTAGACATAACCAGTATGCACTGAGAAAAGGTTTGGAAGTAAGAGTTTAGGACAAAAGACAGATCTTTGGAATTACCAGCTTTTAAGTAATATATGACATCATGAGAATAGATGTGAACATCCAAAGAAGAAAGTGCAAGTGGGAAAAAAGCTGTCAGGACAGCATGAGTGGCAGGTGAAGAGAAAGGAGGACAGTGGATTCAAGGAGACTGGCAGCGAGACGGGGAGGAGTAGAACGAAGAGGCTTTTCAGGATGGACAGCACTGACCATGTTTCTCAGGGAGAAGATGGGGTCAGGGAATTACTGGCAAGGGAGAAAATGAAGAAAGAGGATGGAGCACTCTCAGGAGCATTATGCGGGTCTCGGAAGGGGTCCCCATCCCTTCAGCTAGAGGCAAGGAGGTGAGTGAACATGTAAGGTAGGAAGCAGAGAGGAGAGACATGGAGCAAGTTATCAGTCTTGATGCCCTTTTTCTTCTTCATGGATCAGGAAACTAAGTCATCTGCTGAGCACGGAGGGAACTTAAACTGCTGAGCACTTGGTAAAGTTTGCAAGCATATTTATGAATTAAAAATCCAGTGTACCCAGATCTTGTGGAACTATATGGTACACTTCCATTTTGGAATTGAAGCCATTTTCACTTCCTTCTGAGCCCTAAAACATGATGATTGAGAGCCAGCAACTTACATCAAAAAACATGGAAGCATGAGGGTCCCAGCGCTGCTTGTAAAACTCACCCTGGGAATTTCTGACCAGCTGAAGGCTTGCCCTCAGATGAGCAACTTGGTCTCCTATAGCACATCTATGCAGATCTGATTGATATAAAGATTGATGGCCGAGCAATGGATGCCTTAACTAATGTGATAAGTTGACTCACTCCTTAAGAATGTTCTATCTTCTTTGGAGATGGAGTAAAAACTCCTTGGGGCAGGGAGGTCCCTTGAGAAATGTTAGTGTTCCTGAAGTAATAATAGGCTAGAAAGCCTTTTACTGTGGGATGATTGTGACAGCTAAGAAATGGAAAGAAATGAACATGAGTCACACAAAAACCTCAGTCCATGACCTTCAGTTGTTGTCAATTATATTTAAGAAAATGTTGTGTGGAACTTCAATATTAGGTATTTTGTTTATATTTTCTATTATATCTATAATTGCTATATATGTTGGCTTCAACTCAGATGAGAAATGAGACAAATACGTAGTTTCACTTTCCCCGAGGCGGAAACTCCTTAAGCAGAGTGATCAGTCATGAGGGACGGGGGCAGGGAAGAGATGCAGGCTTCTGTGTCTCAGCGGAATCCTTAGAATTTTTAAATTTGCTCTGTTTTCCTTCAGGACTCTTTACCTTTGCCCCAGGTTTCCCTCTTCAGAGCCTAACTTGGAGTAAGCCCAGAGCAGGCTCCTCGCCCCCGTGCGTCCACAGAACTCGGCAGCACTTGCCTGTTCTTGCCTGGGCTTCACACCGCACCTCAGGGTTGGGTACAGAGCAGCTTTCCAAATCTGAGGTATGGCCGGCCAGAACCTGTTCACTGTTGGCCAGTGGCCAACTTTGGAGCCACTGGTGCTGTGGCTCTCAAGGCCCTGCTAATTGGCACACTGGGTTACCCGGGATTGGGGGAGGTGGAGGGAGGCTCGGCCTGGGATGACTTGGTCCTTCTTTGGCCTAACTAACAACACAAGACCCTTACATATAGCCTGAACCAAGGGGCAAAGCTAAGGAAAACTAGAAGAAGAAGCATTGGAAAGATTTTTGCCTTTACTTAAAATTTCCCTACTTCTCTTTTTGAAAGAAATTCGATGAATTCGCATGTATCAAGCATTGGTCATGCTTTGACCAATGCTAAGACCTTTGTAGTGCTCACTGCAGGTTTGTAGCCTAGTGGCTCAGAATCAGCCTGCAATGTGGGAAACCCAGGTTCCATCTCTAGGTTGGGAAGAGCCCCTGGAGAAGGGAATGGCTACCCACTCCAGTATTCTTGCCTGGAGAATCCCATGGACAGAGGAGCCTGGTGGGCTAGTCCATGGGGGTCCCAAAGAGTCGGACACGACTAAGCAACTAATACACACAGGTTTGAATGTGCCCTTAGACCTCATCTGGTGTTTCCCTTTCCAGAGCATGTGTTCCCTTGTGTCATGTTCTGGATCCTGATGAACCTCTTGAGAAAGGGAGATTCTTTTGTCAGACTCAGATCCTGGAGGCTTCTTCCCTCCAGCGCTGACTGTTTTCTGCTCACTTTGTCTGCTGCCTGAAGCTGGCAAAGCAGCCAGGAGCAGTCATGCATGTGGGGAGGTTATGTCCCCAGCCGCTGTCATAATCCCCTGGACGGCCTCTTCCTCCTATGCTTGTCTATCTTCCTTCATATTTTTCTGGTTTGTTTTTTAATTTAAGTATAGTTTCTTACAATATTGTGTTAGTTTTAGATGTACAGCAGAGTGATTTAGTTATATGTTTTATATCTATATATATATATTATTTTTCAGATTCTCTTCCCTTATAGATTATTTAAAAATGTTGAGTATAGTTCCTTGTACTATACAGTGGGTCCTTGTTGGTTATCTATTTTAAATATAACACTGTGTATATGTTAATCCCAATCTCCTAATTTATCCCTCCCCCCACTTCCCATTTTTATTAAGGGTTCTCTGTTTTCTTCTGAGTCTTCAAACATTGTTTGTGTCTTATGTATTGTTGGATGTATCAAGGATAGTGTTTTCTGCCTCTTGAAGAGCTTAAAAAACAGGCCATAGTCCTACTTCTCAAGAATTTAGTTCTACGTCTAAGTAAGGAGATGAAATAGCTTTCTAATTCTGTGGTCCTTAAGGCTGAATATGAATATATGTGTGTATGCACAGATGCACATGCATATCCAACTCTTTGGGACCTCATGGACTGTAGCCCACCAGGCTCCTCTGTCCATGGGGTTATCCTGCCAAGAATACTGGAGTGGGTTGCTATTTCCTCCTCCTCCAAGGGATCTTCCCGACCCAGGGATCGATAAGGTCCTTAAGCTTATCTTCCCTCTTAACCTTACCAGGTAGCCAACAGGACTCATGTGTACCCTGAGAGGTAAGAGGTGAGAGATAAAGTGAAAGTGTTGTTCTAAATGTGGGTGCCTGGCAAGCCTCTGTCCCTGAGCTGGGAATTGCTATCGTAATCTAAAATCAACAGAAGAAGCAATCCAAGGCCAAGTACGGGGCAGGAATCAGGGTCATGGGTTACAAATTGATCTGGGAGTGAAATTACAAGCCTACGTAACACTTTTACAGGGCTTGATTCCAAGAAATAAGGCAAATGTATTTCCAAGGTAGTTCATTTAAAGCTGGAGCTTTCAGAACTTTAATACACTTTCGTTCTCCCTAAATGGTTGGGAATGTGGTGGACATTTGCCTAGTTTGTTTTCGGCTTAGCATCCTCCTTTCCATCTGGAGGCAATGCTTCACTGTGTACTGGGGAGGAGAGGTGCTCCACTCTGTATCAAGGATGACTCCTCCTCCCTACTCCAGACATTCGGAAGAGAATCCAGGCTCAGCCAGTCAGACCCTCCTCTCTGGGACACTGAACAGCAAGGGAGTAAAGCGAAGATTCAAAGATTGTTTAGAAACCACTTGTAGTGATGGTGTCATGCTGTGGGCAGCAGTGGGGACTAGCAGGGGCAGACCCTCCTATGGCATGACTTTGGTCCCTACTGTCCATCCTCTCTTGGTGTCCAGCCCATTTTCTGAACCTTGGTCTCCAATCCTCCCATTTATCCTATGAACTCTTCAATGTCCTCCCAATACTCCATCTAAGATAAAGTGAGCAGAGTTGTCTTCTGTTGCTTGCAACCAGGCAGTAGGTTGGACAATCTGATGCTCCTGAAATTTAAAGAGGGGTTTCTGGTGCTGCTAGTCGGCCTCTATCTAGAATGGTCTGGCAGCATACATGCTGTGCCCTTTCACATGAAAGCTGCCGTACTTAGAGATTTTAAGATAAATTTAGAGTCAAGGGTTTCTGGCACTTTCCCAAAGTGGACACACTAACAACATAGAGAGGGATTTCGCTGAGGGTGGGCCCTAAATGGTCAATGTTTGCAGGTACAACTTCTAGGACAGACCTAGGTGGCAAGGAATACTGAGTTTTGCATATATTTAAATCAACTTAATTTCAACTTCACATTTTCCTACATAGCAAGAGGGTAATGTGTATCTATAGGCATTCATGACTGCCCCCAGAGCCTCCTCACCCCAAGGGTTGTTTGGAAGTTCAGGGTCTCATAGCACCAAGATATAGGGGAAAGCCCTCTGGTCTTCAGTCCCTGGACTGTACTGGTGACCTCCGAGACGCCTTCTGCCCCAACCAATACAGTCCCTTCAAACCTGCTGGCTCTGTTTTTTCCCCCGCAGCACATACAGCATGGTGACCTATGGTGAGGCTGTTGCCTAGAGTTCTAGTTCCTTGGTTGTATCATAAAGTGTGAGCCTTTGAAGATCTGGTCCTCCTTAGGGCACTTATGGAGATGGCTCTGGTCGCTGATGCTTGAGAAGCCTAGACCTCTGTCTGTCT